CAGTCAGCTGAAGTGGCCTGCAGTACTGCACCCTTACCACTGCGCCACCTCAGCTTTAGTGGAATACTAGTTCTCATATTAATTCTTTGTCATGAAAATGAATAGTCAGTTCCCCTGGGCATGAATGGAAAATGGTATTCCTGTGGTCTTAACTTTAACCAAGGAGAACAGGGGAACTGGAAGCATTATTGGTGAGAGGGAATCTTGCATTTTCCCCACCATGGTAACTGTTTTAAGAATACCTCATAATAATGCTCTTGCAGTTCCATTGATTCACAAATATTTGGGAATTCTGGCAAAAGGCATACATACAGATTTATATAGAATAAGAACTGAAGTCTAAATATTAGCCCATCTGACATTTTCAGCAGAATGTGCCAGGTCTGCTGTTTGGCTGTGCCAAAAGTTACATACTGAAGAATAATCTCTTTATTGGGGAGTTTTCTATACTAGTTGGCCTGAACAACCAAAGAAATCTTTTTGGAGACATGGTGTTGAAATCCTTACCAAAACAGATTAAAAAATATTAGAGACTCAATATTTAATCATATAGGATAAATATATTATATCACATGTATATAGGATCTAATATAATTGTCCACAGTAACTATCTATTAAATGTTCATATCAGCCCGCTATTGTTTTAGAAGGATTCGTTTTTATTTTATGTCCAGTATTTAGAGAAAGTTTAAGAGCATAGTTCTAACCTTGAGAGCTGCTATCGTCTCTGATTCTACTGTTTTTTCCATAACAAATATTTTTAAATTGCTGTATAAGCAAGAAGCATCTTTCTTGCTTTTGTCAACATCAGCCAAAGACTTAAGTGCTGAGAGGGCAGAATTCCCAATTGCCTAAATAACATTTTAAAAAGAGATTCTTGTTCCCATGAGCTTTAAATTTCCTTAAATTAATATATGATGGAGCAGAACTTTCACATATACCTTTTTGCAATGGATTTTTTAAATAAAAGAAATGCTTAGAAATGAAAAACAGATTGTTGCATGCCAAATCAAGGAAGGGGGGGCGGAATCTGGTTTCAAGGTGATAGGAGATATGTGGTGTGTCATTTTCTAAGAAATTTGGAAACTCTATTTTAATAATATTCTTTCTCAGATAGGAGACATTTTATCTCTGCTGCATTATGTGTGTAAAATACTTTCTGCTCCAAAAGATCATGCTTGCAGTCAAATGTGGGCTTTTAATTTGGATTAGGTAAGCAACGTGCCAACACATTTTAAGTTTTGACAGCCTGCTGTGGACCCATTCACAAAATGACTATCATAGGAAATCTCCCGAGTCATAAAAGTAGGGTTTCATAAAACTAAAAAGACAAATTTGCTATTCAGGGTGCTTTTTATTATCCAAACGGTCTTTTAGTGAGGTCCAAAGCAATTGCTGAAAATAAATATGAGGCAAGAAGTTTATAGCATCCTAGTTTCTTATTTATTTGCTTCTTTACTAAACTATTTTTTAAGGTGGAAAAGAGAAACTGATAGGCATCTAGGGAAAGGATTTCTCAGGAACCAACATTATCAAAAATTGGTAGGAAGAAGTTTTTAATAGCTGTCTGTCTGCTTAGGACACAAGCACATACATCTCACTTCTTTATATTATTTTGTTAGTTGAAGTTTCCCAGACATATTGAAACTGTTTGCATTATATCTTCCAATAGTTCTTGGTATCTTGATGGAAGATTACTGTTGCTGATTACCTCAGTTTGTATCGTCTTCCCTCTAGCACTTCTTCCTAAAATTGGTGAGTAATTTTAAAGAGGATATTCCTATTGTGTAATTTACCATTGGCAATCATTTTTTCCTTTCTAATAGCAGCTTGATTGAGAGACGTCAGAGAGGCTCTTAATACCAGTTTAAATAAATTAAGGTAAGATTGAGCAGCGTAGATTTGTTTGCAACTTAGTTTGCCTTCCAGACTTGCCTAGTTAACTTATTAGTTAGATTCCCCAGTATTTTGTCTGCTCTACTAAAATGAAACATTTACAGAAAAACATTAAAGAGCTGCATTTACTTATTGTATGCCATTATTGGTAGAGCGGTTCTAATTCAGTGCTGCAAAGCTACATAAATGGTCTGTGACAGGCAAGTCGGAATGTTTTTAGATGGAGTTTTAAGCCCCAGACACCAAGCCCTATAATGAAAAACATACCTACAATGTGAAACTCTTTTAACCTTACATCAGGATCACTTTCCTTATAAATTGTCTCTTATTTTTACTGTTATTTTACAGGCTTTCTTGGCTACACAAGTAGTTTATCATTTTTCTTTATGGTGTACTTTGCTCTTGTGGTAAGTAAAAAAAAATCTAGATCATAGCTTATGTTTTCTTTTGATGGATTTCAGAATTCCTTTGAAACAGATGTCTGTCTTTAAAAAATTTGTCTTTAAAATCAAAGTGTTCCTTCTCCTGTCTTGTATATGCAGTGTGTGTTTTTCCTTGTGTGTGGGTAAGTTTTTTGGCTTAAAAAAAATCAGGACTTTGAAAAAAACACCATTGTTAATTTTTTGGACTGTAAAATGCAGTACAGTTGTATTTGTTTTTGCTGACAGGGCAATGAAAAATATTAGTCTGCGTGGGATGGAATTTTTCATCCTTACTTCCAACCACCATTTACTGCAACTCGTGCAGAAGAAAATGTCATCTTTTCCAAGTAAATTGAATTTACATCCTAGTTCAATAACACAAAGCACAAGAAGCAGCAAAACTCTTCTGAGAAATTTAACATCCATATTAATATATCAAGGTCTTATTCTTTCAGACGGAAAGAAATACTTTCTCCCTATTCTGTCTCTGTGTCAAGTATGTCATTCAGTGCTGATGTTTACATTCAATGCTTCTTTTGTGATCTATGGAAAACACTAAGGGTGTCCGCATTTGTTTTAGATTTGCTTCTACTGTGGTTTCTGCTACAGTAAAGAATATATAGAAATGGATACATTTCAGGATAAGTTCAGACATGAATTATCTTCAAAACCAACATCTGTATGTGCAGGGGTCACAAATGTGTATTCAAGCAATTGATATAATTTAAAAATTCCAGCATATGCTGGCAACAATGGCATCATTTATATCTTGGGGATATTTATTTAATGGAATTTATATACCACCCATCTCATGTAAGTGACTCAGGGTAGTTACACAAATAAAAACCATGAAAAGTGACATACAGTAGTTCAAAACAGTATTAAAAAACAGAGTTTAAAAGATAAGAGTTACAGAGGTTCCAAAAGTTCAAAAAGCAGAGGGAGTGCTCTTAAGACAACCTCCGTGGATTGCATGGGAGAATGGGTCTCACCTCAGCTCTGGTGGCAAGATATTCCATAGGGTATGGGCAACAGCAGAGAAGGCTCTTTTCCTAGCCCTGCCAGCCAAAATTGTTTAGTGTTAAGGTCTTTAGAGATTCTGTGTGCATTGGCCAGGTTGAGAAGCAATCTTTTGAAGTGGTGCATCATTGCCTCTTTCAGTGTGACATCACCGTCTCCTTTAAGGAAGAGTTCGCTACCTTTCACATCCAATCCCTTGTTCTCTGTCTGGCAAAACTTAATCCCCTAGGACCGGGATGGTGAACCTATGGCACGTGTGCCACAGGTGGCAAGCGGAGCCATTTTTCGGGGCATGCGAGGCGCTGCCCAAGTCATTTCCAGTTTGCTCGTAGGGTCTTTTTTTCCCCCCTCTGGAGGCTTCAGGGACCTTCAGGAGGCTTCCCTGAAGCTTCAGGAGCTCTTAAAACGACTCTCCAAGCAAACCGGAAGTGACTTTGGGAGGGCGAAAAAAGCATGCAAAAAATGGGGGGGAGCGCCTGTAGCTCATGCATGCACACTGGGGGGTTTCTCTCATTGCATTATGTGTGCGGCACGCCTGCGCATGACCCCCCTGCGCTCCCCCCACTTATGGCACGCGAGGCAAAAAAGGTTCGCCATCGCTGCCCTAGGAATATAGTCGAGAGATGTTGGATCTCATTCGTCATAGAATCCCATCCATGTCCTCGAGAGTTCACAGTTTCAGAAAAATCTCAAGTGATCTCACAAGGTATGACCACTATCATCTCATGAGATTTTGTCTATTAGGTTTCTGAATATGAATAATAAATGCAAGCAATTGTATTGGCAGAATGCCGAGCAAAAAGAAAAGCTAGTTAAAAAAAAAAAAAGAACCCCATTTGGGTATGTGTAGTGAACGAGGAGAAAAGAAATTTTCTAATGTGTTACATTATAAGGGATAGTTTTAATTAGATGAACTTTGTTCCTTTTTTCTTTTGAGTCAAGGTCCTCTTTTTCTTAGGCTATTTTAATGGCCCCCTGCATGAACCCATTACACGCTATCAAAATTACAGATGCTTCCATAATCCAAAAAGGTTGAGTACCTTCTATTCAATTGAAAGGGAATCTAAGAGCTAAATCTAATATGTTAATGTGGTTTCTGGAAGAAACTGAATAAGGGCTAGTGAACAGATCTGATCCCTTTCCCTTCCACTATCATGTACATGCAGGAATATCACTGCACAATGTTCCTTCTTGGTAGGTTATCCCACCTTATCTGAGATACTGTACTTCTAAACAAGCAACACTCAAAGAAATTATTAGAAACAACCCCTCCCCCCCAAATCTCTTTTCTTTGGAGTAGTTAACTCATGGGTCTAGGTAAGATTACTACTGGGCTGTTATAGTTAAAGGTTATCTCTTTAACTATTTTATTTTAGTGCAAAGATTGGCTTTCAGTGGCTCATGTTCATCACTAGAATAATAATTGAGTATCATGCACGCTTATGCTGTTTTAATTTTCAAAGTCATATTGACATGTAAAGAAAACTAGAAGAGGAAATCAAACAGGTACAAATAAAACAGAGCAGAGAGATAATAGTTCTTTATATGTGTGTAAATTTATTTTATATATTTCATTATGCCCCCATCACCCCTATTTTCTTTTAAATGGTTGCTCTTTGACCTAGGATAGATTGATGGAGGAAGAGATTGAAACAAATGAAACAGTAATAGCAGCCATGCTTAAACTTTATTATTCCCTTTCTGCCTTCCACCTGAGCAGGCATGCTTTGCTGAAGTTTGATGCTTTCCCTGCAGAATAATAAGCAGTGCCCCTTGACTCTCTTGGCTTGTGTTGACTTGCAGGCAGGCCCTACTTTTTTTCCTGTGTTTTTACAAAGATAAAAATCACATAAAGGCTGTCCTGCAAAAATGCCATCCAGAGTGCAAGACAGCCAGTCCATTAAGGAATTGAACCATAGGATAAAAATCAGACTTCAAAGCTGTCAAAACCTCTCCCTAAGGGCAGCATCTTTCAAGATTTCCAAAATATTTTTGCCAAGTCTAGGAGATGATAATCTTCTGCAAGCTCAGCAACCTCCTGTGAGCTAAACTGCCTTTCATTAATACCTATTTGGGCTTACCTGCATCCAGTATGTCTCAGTTCCTTGGCAGGTCCAGTGACAAATCACTATTCACCGTCCCGTCTGTTGTATAAGGATTTTAACCAGGTAATCTGAGAGGCAAATGACCTGTGTACACTGTATCTAAATGATGTCTTCAGATTATGCATCATGTTCATAGGTACTTTTGTTGTAACACACATTTTACTTGATTCTGGTTTGTTTGCCAAGTTCTATTCCCAAGTAAAAGTCCCAGTTGTTTAATGCTTTCATGTGGGCTTGATAACACTATATGGTTTAGGTTTAGGTTTCGTTTTATTTATATGCCGCCCTATTCCCAGTGGGACTCAGGGCGGCGCACCAACCCAAGGGGGGAAGGGAAACACAAAAACTACAAATACAAGCATTTAAAAATAACCAAT